CATTCAAATGGCATTATGACTCATAAAATACTTCGCAAATTCAACCTTTGTTTGATTGATGTCATCCTCGGTGTATTCCAGATTTCCCCGACGCGCCCACTGAAAATCGTAGGAAAAAACCAAATATCTAATAAGCCAATCATAGAAGTGATGAAGTAAATATAGGATGCAACACATAAGAACTGATTTGTATGAAGGCGTTATCTGTGATGACTAACACTAAAGAACTGACCAATAATTAATACTCAAACCTTCACTTGCATTGAGTAGTACACATTATTAGTGAACTAGAAGAGGCTCTACTTAATGTTAAAGTCTCTCCTGAATAAAAACACCAGAACTGTACACAAAATAAAAAAACTCTGTACAGCGCTATCTTAAATTAGCTTCAAATTAAATCTGTGTAAATAGCATGTTGCAGAACTTGCATTTATCCAGAAATTCAAACTAAAAAACACACTCCTAAATGATACACGGATGCAAAGAAGCACTTGATAGAGAACACATAAAAGCGACATGCAATTCAAACTTTGCAATTCAGTAATGATATGATAACATACAATACAGTAAATATCCCCAGAATAAGAGAAAGGCACAATTAGTGTGAACCATCCGAAACAAGAAAAACTACATTTAAGACAACAATATTACCTTTGAAGCAAATTGAACCTCCTTATCTTGACAGATCTCTTTCATGTATCGCATTACAAACAAGCCACAGTCTACACTCCCTTTTTGCATCGGGATGCCCTAAAAAACAAAAATATAAAGTACGTTATATATACAACACTTCTCATTCAACCTGCATTACATACCAAATAATAAGAATCATATAATACCGCCATGTTCTCCCAAGACACTTTCTTCTTCAACATAGGTGTGTTCATGGTACTCTTGTACAAAACTATAGCACTATAAGGAAACGAAAAAAGATAAATAGAGAAATGTTAAAATCAAGAGTGATAGAAAATACCAAAGATTTTTGTTCATTGAGTCACTACTTACTTATCTACCACTTCAGTCCACTCCTGACTATCTATACTCCGTTTAAGGGGGTCCATGTAGTACACTACCTCTTCATTAGGTTTGACAACAGTCAAAGCCCAATGATTCCTACAAATAAAAACATATATGAATTACGACATTCTCACGAACTTAAAGAAATTCGCATTTACATAAGTGTATTAACAAAGCATTACAATGCAAATTGAAGACTAAGTTCACAAGGAAGAAACAATTCAGAACATCAGTTCTTGACATGAACAACTTAAACATACTTACACGTCATTGAACGGTATTAGAAAGTGTTGTCCATCACAGGCCCCCTTAAAGCGATCAGCAAGCTTGCGTGACCTCTGCCCTATGTTCCCACATGCAAGCGTCCCTACCATGCCGGGA